TCTTTTTTCTTCACTTCTTTTTTCTTTTTATCTAATTTTTTTCATTCTTTTTTCATATCTTTGTCCTTTTCTGCTTTTTTCTCGTCGTTTTTCACCTGCTTTCTCTTTTATCCCCTTTTTTATTCTCTTCTCCTTTTCCTTCTTTTTATTTCTTTTTTCTTTCTTTTCTCTTCTTTGTCTTTCCTTTTTTCCTTCTTTTTATCGCCTTTTCCTCTTTTTTCTTGACTTTTCCTTTTCTTTTTTTCTTGTCTTTCCTTTTTAAATATTTCTTGATAATATAATATTTTTTTTATTTTACCCATCATTTTTTATCATTCATTCTTCTTCAACTCTTTCTAAAACTTTTATATTTATCAAATTTAAGAATTTTTTCACCAGCTCTCATTGGATTTCATGTTATATGTTTTCTTTTTCCTTTTCTCCGCTTCCTCTTTTTCATTTTTAATTTTCTTCCTTCTCTCATTTTTCGTTGCTTCCTTTTCTTTTTTTTTCTCTCATCTTTCATTGTTTCCTTTTCTTCCTTACCTCATTTTTCATTGTTTCCTTTCTTTCTATCATTTTTCATTGTTTCCTTTTCTTCCTTACCTCGTTTTTCATAGTTTCCTTTTTTCCTTCCCTTATTTTTCGTTGCTTCCTTTTCTTCCTTTCGTTTTTTCTTTCTCTTTTTTTCGTTGCTTGCTTTTCTTCTTGACTTCTTTTTCCATTTTTGTCGTTCAATCTTTTCTCTTCCTTTTCTTTTGTTCCTTTTCATTTTTTTCTTTGTTTTCTTCTTTTCCTGCTCCAATGTTGTTCTGTGTTCGGTGCTCATTTTAGGCATAAAATATATACGCGTTAATGCTTTTCTGTTTTTTTAAATGTTAACGCATTCATCTGTGTAACGGGGGGGATGCATAATCCTAGTTTACACCTTCCACGAACATTTGGTTCTTACACTCTTACAGACATGCATATATACACCACAAACACATTCTCAGTGAGACTCAGCTGCCACTTATCGGTCCAAAGTTCTATCAGACAACAGATTAATAATCAGCATAAGGATCATAGTAACATTAGATAACTACTCGCAAACAATACCAGAATACTTGCATTATTTTCATTATTCAGACAGTTATCCTCATCTTCATTGACATATTCAGAGCGTTTCGGCCGTTGTACGCTCGGGCCTTCTTCAGGTGATTGGAATTTCGAATCGAAGCCTTTATTTGTCCACATAGCCTAGTGGATAAAAACGTTAGTTAGATCCAGTGACTAGACGCAAAGAGTTCAATACCAGGCCACAGCAGTGGTGAACCAAAACTTGGAAAGTTGAGTTAAACGAAATAACTGAGACTTCCGGAAGTGTCATGGCACGAGGAACTAGAACAATCTACCTCAGTTGACAAAATAAAGGGCCAGCAATAAAAATCTTCTCAGCATTAAATAACCCATTGATGTTGGTATGCCGTAAATCAAACCAAACCAAATTCTTTCTTTCTCCTTATAATCTATCTATCTATCTCACCCTTATTCTTATCTATCTATCTATCTATCTATCTATCTATCTATCTATCTATCTATCTATCTATCTATCTCAGTCTGTATATTATCTATCTATTTAAAATACGAGGGTCGGCTGACCAAGATGAAATGTTAGCAAATGAGGTTTCTTTTTCAACATAGTCCCACTTGCGGCCCACACATTGCTTGGATCCTATTGGTGAAGAAACTTTCATTCTGTTGGTAAAAATCATTAACAGAAGTTCTGACGTCAGAATCGCTGCGATATTGGCTTCCAGTCATGCGTTTTTTCCGTGTTGAGGAACAGCTGATAGTTAGGCGGGGCCAAATCAAGAGAATAGGGGTGGGTGATCCACTTGTTCAAAGCCACAGTCATGCACAGCAGCTATTGAAACCAAGGACTTCTGTGCTGACGGAAAAAGACCTCTTTCGTTAGTTTCCCTCAACGTTTGGTTTTGATAGTCTTTCGTACACTGCCTCAACAAGTTGGCATAGTACTCTCTATTGATGGTGTGGCCCTTTTGATGCAGTCATTAAACACAATACGTCCCAAAAACTGATCCCATCACCTTCCCTGCAAATGAAAAGACCTTGGCATTTAGAGCAAGTAAGGCGGAGATGTTTCTACTACATAGATTTTCTCTTTGTCTCTAATTCAAAGTGATGAACCGAACAAGGAAACGTTCAAGGAAATGCTTCAAACAATGTCAGATTTCCTTGTGATGTGATCAGCCTGGTGTGCATTTGATTAGATGTCGCAAGTCGTGGCACCGTTCGTCAGAAACCTTGGTCATGCCAAGTACATTGTGCAGAATATTCTCAATTCTCTCACGGGATAGGCTAATAACATCGGCCATTTGATTTATAGTCAATCGACTGTCATTCATCATCATCACGGGAACACTATGATGTTTACCTCTGTACTGGCAGTCGCAGGACGTCCAGTCCTAAGATCAACTTCAAGATTCTCCCTTCCCATCCTAAATTCAGCCGCCAACTTTTACACAATTGCTAAAACTGGAGTATCGTCCCTTAATGTAGCAACCATGTCAACATGAATGTCTTTTGGGGTTGAACACTTTTTCTGCAGGTGATCATAACAAAATGCCAAATTTTGTCCATTTTCAAGAGAAGTCTGTTCATTTCTATCTATCTATCTATCTATCTATCTATCTATCTAATTAATACAACTGAAATATTTGTCACTTAGCTGATTGATTTTACCTTCAGCATTCCGACTTCAGAGTTTCCTAGACGGATCTGTCCGTACACTCGTCAGGGGTAACAGCAATTGATAATTCTCGATTTTTCTTATGAACTTATCATTGGTACCAGTTTTTCATGGTGTATTTATGCGCATGCGCACACCCATGCACCCGTCTGCGCATGTCTATATGTGTAGAATGTTGTGATTATTTGTCCTTTTTGTCGCTTTTTTGTTTCACTTTACACTCACTCCTTAACCTTTGCTCTTTTTTTTCTTCTTTTCTCTTTCAAATGTTGCAATTTGGGTTCCGATCTTTCTAGACAAGATGTCGTTTTTAAATTTTGAATCTTCTAGTCTCTTATTTTAATGATTTTTATTTCGTGGGTGACTTGCTGGATTTTGCAATTAATTTCAATTTTTTCCCAAATTTATTTCCAAATTAAAAAAATTTTTATCGTACAAAAAAATTCGTCGAAATAAATCGCAGTAATAAAAACATAAGAATCCTACACCTCGCGATTGCGGATCCGAATCGGAATGTTTTTTTTATTTGCACACGGCGTCGGCCTGATTACAGAATGGTATGATATGTTGGGTTACGGCCTCTAGAAGTAAAGTTGAAAAACTGTGATACACTGACATTCTGATATATATATATATATATATATATATATATATAAAAACTAAAGAGCCAGACTAACCTACCTAGGTTTCACCTACGCGAAATGAATTCAAGAACAGGTGACAATGCAAGCAACTCCACTCTATTTTCCAAGAAATCATAGCATTTCTTTTTTTTTTAAATAATTTCACCTCAAGCAAGGCAATAACGCCACTCGGACGCAGGGGGTTACAGAGGATGAAAGAGAATGAGACTCCTTTAGCAACGAAAAGGACAATAGGATTCCGGAAGACAGAAGCTGGCGATTGAGGGTGCATTTAAATTTAAGATTATAGTTATCAGGTAAGCAAGAAATCGGACTGGAGTTCCACAGGCAAGAAGTGCGATACACAGGAAATGTTGAAGGGACAAGGGACAGAGGTAAACAAAATATATTATTTTATATAAATATTGATCCTTTTTTAATATTAATATTTATATTAATATTGCACACACACACACACACACCTATGTGTGTGTGTGTGGGGGAGGTGTAACAAAGATCTTGCTAGGGCAATATTCATATAAATTTTAATATTAAAATCAGAGTAATATATATATATATATATATATATATATATATATATATATATATATATACTCCTGAAATGTGATCTGATGAACCAGGAAAACCACCTACCTGGGGAAATAAAATATAATCAATGGAGCCTTAAAGTTGTCTGTTTTCTAATTAAATTACATATATATATATATATAAATATATACATATATATATATATATATATGTGTGTGTGTGTGTGTGTGTGAAGAAATATAGTCTTAAGATGTACTATATTTATGGGATAAAGTGCTGAATATCAGAGATAGAGCGTGTGTAAATATAAAAGGGAACATAGACGTCAACACTTACAGGTGACAGTCTGTTTCATGCTAGATGCAATCGTCAGGTCTGACGATTGCATCTAGCATGAAACAGACTGTCGCCTGTAAGTGTTGACGTCTATGTTCACTTCATATGTATATATATATATATGTAAGTGTTGACGTCTATGTTTCACTTCATATATATATATATCAAGTATGTGGTGCAGTTCAATTTATATTACATGAATCAGTATGAATTTGTATGAATGATTCATGTAATATATATATATATATATATATATATATATATATATATATATCCCTATTGAAGCTTATGATTCAGCCCCGGTTGCTGTTTTAGTATGTTTTTATATTTTAGATACACTTGGTAGAATTGTACATCCCAAACAAATAGGCCTATATAGAGATGATGGACCATTTTCATCCTCAATAGTAATGGTCCACTAACAGTGAAAATACAAAAGAGAATCATTAGGACCTTTAAATTACTCGGGTTTAAGATTGAGATTTTCTCTAACCTTAAAATAGTCGATTATCTAGACATCACCCTTAACCTCGATAATAAAACGTTTAAACTATATCATAAAGACAATGAAACCTATATTAATGTTAATTCTAGTCACCCCAATGCCATTGTGAGACAGATACCCAGCACTGTCGGCATTAGGATTAGTCGATTATCATCAAACATAAAGATGTTTAATAAAAATAAAGAATTGTATGAAAATGATCTCCATAAAATTGATTCTAAAAATAAATTATCTTATCTAACCCCCATAAGTAACACTAAAATAGATAGATAGATAGATAGATAGATAGATAGATAGATAGATAGATAGATAGATAGATAGATAGATAGAAAATACATCGATGGATAAATATGAATAGACAGATGGATGGATAAATAGAAAAAAGAAGAATTAGATAGATAGATAGATAGATAGATAGATAGGAAGGAAGGAGAAAGAAAGAATATGATTTGGTTTGCTTTGGTTTACGGCATATCAACATCAATGGATTATTTAATGCTGACAAGATTTTTATTGATGGTAATTTCCCCACCACCACCACCACCACCACCACCTCCAAATGTATTGTTTGGTTTGGTTTGGTTTGGTTTGGTTTGGTTTGGTTTGGTTGGGTTGGGTTGGGTTTATTTTACGGCATATCAAACTCAATGGATTATTTAATGCCAAAAATATTTGTATTGCTGGTAATAATTTTTTTTTGATTTATTGCTGGTAACATTTCTTTTCTTTCTTTTTTTAAATGTATTGCTGATATTCTATTTTTGTTTCAAAATGTAGTGCTGGTAATTTTTTTTTTCCAATATTTTTTCCAAAATAGTTTGGTGGCAATAATATATTTGCTGGTAATATTTTTTTACAAAATATATTGCTGGTATTAAAACCTATTTTTACTCGTTTTGACCTCAGTTAAGGGATTAACTATTTGCCCATAGCTGGGACCCTAACAGGTGCTATCACCCCGGGTCAGGGTGGACCTGGGAACAACAGCAATTAAGAGGTGGTTCCACACTCCTCAAAACCTCCTGATCAGGGGCCTTGCTGTTGGATGTAGTTTATCTTACCCAGGGCATGGATGTAGTTTATCGTCATATCCAGGACGGGAAAGAATATGATGAGATAGATAGATAGATAGATAGATAGATAGATAGATAGATAGATAGATAGATCTATCTTTGTCTCTAGTACCCTGACTTCATGAATTTAAGCGTTCTGCTAGATTGGCATCTAAGTCCCACCAGTTTACCATTGAAATAGTTAAATGTGACTGCCACTTCTACTCCAACAGTTTATTTTCTCACACTTCCTGTCTATAGAACTGCCTTCCATTTCTTTGCTTCCTTGATAACAGCAGTCTTCAAAAATTTAAACGCAACGTCAATTTAAACGCAACGTCAATCGCTATCTTCTGCTGTCTTGAACTCCGTTTATCTTTTATCCTTTCCTCAATCCCCCAAAATCTAATCTTTTCCCTCACTTTCACTTACTGTAACCCCTCCCACCACCACCACTTGGTACTCGTGGCACTCACGCTTTGCTTGATGTTAAATGATTAAAAAAATATGACGAGAAAGAGAGAAAGAATATAACGAGATAGACATAGAGATAATTTATGATAAAATAGATACGTAGAAAGAATATGATGAGAGAGAAAGAGAGAAAAAGAATATGATGAGATAGATAGATAGATAGATAGATAGATAGATAGATAGATAGATAGAATATTACGAGATAGATATTAAGAGATCAAGGTAGAAAGAAAGAAAAAAAAAGAAAGAAAGAAAGAAAGAATATGCTATGAAAAAAGAAAGAATAGAATAGATAGATAGATAGATAGATAGATAGATAGATAGATAGAATATTACGAGATAGATATTAAGAGATCAAAGAAAAGAAAAGAAAGAAAAGAATATGCTATGATACAAAAAAAGAATAGATAGATAGATAGATAGATAGATAGATAGATAGAATATTACGAGATAGATTTTAAGAGATCAAGGTAAAGAAAGAAAGAAAGAAAGAATATGCTATGATACAAAGAAAGAATAGATAGATAGATAGATAGATAGATAGATAGATAGATAGATAGATAGATAGAATAGATAGATATTAAGAGATCAAGGCAGAAAGAAAGAAAGAATATGCTATGATACAAAGAAAGAATAGATAGATAGATAGATAGATAGATAGATAGATAGATAGATAGATAGATAGAATATTACGAGATAGATATTAAGAGAAAGAAAAGAAAGAAAGAAAGAAAGAAAGAATATGCTATGATACAAAGAAAGAATAGATAGATAGATAGATAGATAGATAGATAGATAGATAGATAGAATATTACGAGATAGATATTAGATAGAAAGAAAGAAAGAATATGCTATGATAGAAAGAAAGAATAGATAGATAGATAGATAGATAGATAGATAGATAGATAGATAGATAGATAGATAGAAGAATATTAAGATAGATATTAAAGAAAGAAAGAAAGAAAGAAAGAAAGAATATGCTATGATGCAAAGAAAGAATAGATAGATAGATAGATAGATAGATAGATAGATAGATAGATAGATAGAATATTACGAGATAGATATTAAGATATCAAGGTAGAAAGAAA